TATTCTGTCATTTTTAACAGTGCTTTTATACACTCTAGGAAGACAGAAAATACTGATATACTGATTGATCTGGATATCACCAGGTAGAAACCTGCACCTTTAAATAAGGGCACATTAATGACTTTACTTTTATTTCGTGTTTGTTTTTGTTTTTTTATAGCTCATTTTAAAACATCTTTTCCCTAAGTGAGAACTATGATTTTAATTGTAGGAATTTCAGAACAAATTTAGTATTTTAAAATATTCCAAAATGTAGATGTTTGTAACTGAATTTTATGTTTTGTTCTTCATATTTGGAGTTTAATTAATTACAATATTGTAATAATCATGCAGCTCTTACTCAAGGAGAGGAATCAAGTTTCACAAAAATTTGTTTTATCCTGGCAGCTGTCTTATAATTACCTTAATACATTCCTACCATATTTTGAGTAATAATTCCAAACTGTTGTAGATGATCAAGTACTTGTTTAGGTGAAAGCATTTATGTTAGAAAATAACTTCTAATGCATTTCAGTTCAGTAATGCATACAAATCTATTTAATAGCCACGTTCCTCAATTCTTTTCATATTTTGATACATTGTGGTTAAATTACATCACTGCATTCTTTGTTTTCCATTGTGTAATCCTTGCACTCTAGATTTAACTTTGTTTTAAATTAGCTTGGTAAATTAGCCTTGATGTAACTCAAGTTCTGAAGATAGAACACGTTTAGAGATAATTTCTTTATCTGTTTATACATGTCTCTTTCTGTGAGCCAGCATTTGAGAGAGAGAGAAAGAGAGAGAGGCAGAATGTGAGTCGGGGAGGGGCAGAGAGAGGGAGGCACAGAATCTGAAGCAGGCTCCAGGCTCTGAGCTGTCAGCACAGAGCCCAACACGGGGCTCAAACTCACAGACCATGAGATCATGACCTGAGCTGAAGTTGAACATTTAACCGACTGAGCCACCCAGGGGCCCTGCATTTTTACTTTTGACTCCTTATTCCTTAAAATAGTGACATTTTCTTTTTACTTTCTGTTTTGTCTTCATCTGGTATTTTTGTTTAATTTCTTTTTTTGCCTGGCTTTAAAAATGTTTATCCCTAATCACCTAAGTTTGAAGTTGTAAGTTTTCTTAAGGAATTTTCATTATCTTGAAAAAATTTCCAGATTTTATTTTTTATGTTCGATAAATAATATGTATTCTAAATAATGGACTTCTTGCTTAAAATTAACAGTTTTTTAAAATTCCTTTTCAAGGCCAGGAGACAAGCATCTCAAGTCTTTACAGCTGAGAAGATTCCTTGAAGAATTAAGCATGTCAGTGACTATGGAATTTTACTTTATTTTCCAAATCGAGATACTAAACTCCCTAATACAACTTATGAGTCTGAATTCTCTAAATACTCAACTTGTAATTTAATTTATAAAATGTCTAAATCATACCTTGAGTACCTCATTGTTCAGTAATTATTTCAATAAACTATTTCATTTGCATTATGAATTCTGTGTTTCCTCTCTTATCCGTATTTTAGAAACTGGTTTTGTATGATAGTCATATGTAATATTTATTAGGTCCTTAGTGGTGTTAGGTATTCTTAGTATGTTCCATGTATTAATTAGTTTAATCTTCAAAATAGTTCTGTGAGACAAATTCCATTAGTCCTGTGAGGAAGCTGAATGTCTGTAAGGTTAGTAATTTGCCCAAGAAAATGATTGTAATCCAGGGTGTGAACCCAGGCTTTCTCATTTCCAAGCTGAAGCTCTTTCCATTATAGCATTCTGCTCTCTTCTCTTGTAAAACATATATAATGAAATTCCCCGCTCATTACTTAGAAATAACCTTAATATTTAACAGAGGGATTTGCTTTTGTTAAATGTTTATACCTTACCCATACAACTGTGAATTGGAATTTCGTGTTTAATGTGTCCTGTAGGAAAGAAACTTTCAGATTCATGTTGGATGTATCAAGTAAGGTTGCAAGCAGGCATCCTACTAGAGCCAATTTGAGCAGAAGGGAATTCACTGAAAGATTGTCAAGAGCTCAGAGAAGACACAGGTAACTAAGACACTGTGCTGGAACAAAGGCAGTTCTAGAGGCTAGATTTACAGCAGAATAATCCGTCTAGGAGCCAAGGTAGAATGTCTCTGTACAAAATTCAGATTCTAGAGAGGGCACATCTGATTGGCAGGAGACTATGCCATGGGACGGTAGATAAGAAAATGGATATTATACAACAACAACCAAAGGCAACACCATGAATAAAAAGAACATACTTGAAGTTTTATAAATATCATCTACTCCATCAAATAGTAAAAGCTGCGTTCCTAAGAATGAATAATATTGCCAATTGGAAAATTCTGGAAATCATCCGTTCTAATATTCTGTCCTTCAGACTGGTAACCAGGCTTCTACTTTATCCTGTTTCATGCCACCATTTCCTCTTATCTAGATAATGTGATAACCCCCTAACTAGTCTCCCAGTCTTGATTCTGTATTAGTCTTCCACATATAAGCCAAATGTTCTAAAGTATAGATGCGATTTTATCACTTCCTACCTGAGTCCTCTTCATTGCTCCTGGATTCCAACAATCTGGACCCTGCTTACCTCCAGACTCGTCTCTCACCACTCTCAGAGTTCCACTCCTTCCAGCCTAGAGTCCTTTGCCAAAAAAATAGCTTATGCTACCTACGACCCTTCTCCCCTTAGTTGTCCACCTCTTGGGAGTGCTTTCTTCATGGCTGAAATCCAGGTTAAATGCACCCTGTAAATGTTTGATAGCAGTGTTTTTTTTTTTTTTTTTTTTTTTTTTTTTTTTTTTTTTTTTTTTTTTTTTTTAAGCATAGATCAGTGTTTTGTGAACTGGCACTCTGACAAGATAATTATAGAAATTAGAATTGTGATATTTTATTTTCCAAAATAATGACATTGGAATCGAATTTTAATTTTTAAATTGGTACGTCACAGGATTTAAGAAGCACTGTTCTGTGGTATCCTGTGATATTTATTGCACAGTAGCTGCTAAGTTGCAACCTATTCTAATTTTCTATTTCTCTTTTTATACTTCCTTCCTTGATGAATGGAAGCTCTAAGATTTCAGGGGCAATGTCTAGTTTTTAAAAGTAATCTCAGAGTGTCCAGCACAAAGAGGACTTAAAAATACATTTTTAGGAATGGAAATAATAACTAGTTTTAGAGATGCAGTGCTACAAAAACAGTAATCTTAAGTCTTTGGATATCCCAGCTAGCCATCTCTGTGCAGATCATATAAAACCAATTTTTTTTAGGATAAAGGAGTCAGACTGAGAGCATTTTTTAAAGAAGTAACAAAAAGTATTAACATTTTGAGCGTTCCCAGTCTTTGGGCAGGTGATAGAATTATAAATCCTGTCCCCAGCAAAACAAAACCAACCCCCCCACACACATACATACATATGCAATATTTGCATATAGTATCAGACTGGTTAAAAGTACATGCTTTAATTCAGTGATTATCAATATTTTTGGTCACAGTTCCCATTGACACAAAATAAATTAAAGACCACCAAGAAGATATTGTGGATTACATCTTCCCAGGTTTGCCATATTAGAAATTAAAACTTTTTTTTTTT